GACCTTGATAAGCCAAACAGGCAGTTTGTTAAAATTCTTGAAAATTGTAATGGCATAATTTGCAAGGTCATTCACTTGGACTAAAATCCCACTTCACAAATAGAAGATGGGATTAACTGGAACTCTCAAATTGAATATATGACTTAGAGTTGATCAACCTGTGCCTTCTCAACCAATGTAGAACCAACATTTAACCAGAGTAAAATAATTTAAAATAAAGCCTTGATTATGCTGAGGTGCAGGAACAATCTCCTGCTGAAATCATTATTAAGAGAACTGTTTGGTCTTGTTTTTCCTGTTGTTGTATAGGGAATCTGTGGTAGCTAGAGAGGATCCAGTAAAGAAATGACTTAAATTATTAAAGGAAAAGGAATAAAAAAATCCAAGTTCAAAAACCAATTAATTTTACTTGGTAGTGGGTTTTTGGGTTAGCTCAGATGAGGCCCAGAGATTTTAAGGACACTTATTTATTGCTAGGAAGCTTTTTATCTTGAAACATCTTCAGAGTTACACCATCATATTTTGTATACTTCCTAAATTATCGCTCAAAGTGCAGGGTACTAGGGCTACAGTCATAAATTAAATAGTCAAATCCCTGCCCTCAAAGAACTTATACATTGTTTTCATTTAAAAAATGTTGGTTAGGAGTTGGGGATGTTGTAGATTCAATTTCAAATACTCTCATTTCTAACCATCACCTTTTCCTCCTCCTTTCTTCCTCTAGTACCTCCCAGAAGGGTAATTACAAAGATGTCCAATCCCTTAATCACAGTTTTTTCACTGGCTCAAATCCTACTGCTATCATTTCTTCTTACCAAGCTTAAAACTCCAGAGTCAAATATAATACTACTCTCAGGAACACAGGCTCAACTCCCTTACTGCCTCTCCTGTCTTCATAATTATTTGGCAGGACACAAACCCTAAATGAAGTCTAATAATCATCTCATTAGAATAAAAGTTCCACGAGAACAGAGATTTTTGTTGTTTATGAAACCCTAACACAAAGTAGGCAGTTAATAAATACTGGAATGAATGAGAGTAAAGATTATGACAGGTGGTAAGAGATGCAATTTAAAAAGTCTCATAAAATAACAAACTAGAGTGAATGGGGATACAGTAATATTTCAGTAGTGTCATAAGAAGTAGCTTCTATAAAGTAATAAACACCTGAAGGGAATAAGTTCTGTTATACCAATAGCTGCCTCTCTTTCCCCAGTGATTTTTATTCATTGGATCTGATCATGAAAACATGCTTTGGGAATATGAAAATAACAATGTTTTTCCTGTTTGCAGCTCTTCAGTGATAAATGTGATCCAAGATCAATTCTACTAAGAATAACTTTATAAAGTAACTTCTTTATTTTAGATATAAATAAGAATATTCACTTTTGTATGTATCCATCTGAACTAAAGTTTCCCGTGATGCTTACCGAGTTAGGTCTGGCTCTGGGAGAGGAGTGGACAGCAGCTGGTTGAGATACATCCCCATCTGGAGACAGGACTGCCACTGACAGAAGATGTGAGCTGTGTCTAAATCCAGTCTCCGGCCCGGCCACGTCAGCTCCTTCACTCTTTGGAACTCTTCATACAACATCTTAGCACCACCTTCCTGCAGCTCTTCTTTACCTAGATAAAGAAAGAATTCAAGGCAGTATTTTCCAAAAATAGTGCATCAGCCTGACATTTTCTTCACATATAAAATTTCAGATTCCACAAAGAAGAAAATTAATTTAAAAACCTAATTGTCTTTCTCTTCTGGCTTCATATATACCTTGCTGTATAAAATTGAAATATTTATACTGAAGTAACTTTTTAATGATAACCTAGCTTTCTTCAACCCTAAATTATCTTTTCCTTGAAGTAAGATCTCTTGCTGATCTGATCTTAAACATGTCTGCATGTGAACTCTCCAAATTCTGTCTATGGAAACAAGTGACTATTAAACAACATTCTCTTTACTTTTCTCTTTCACTAATCTTCCTTTCACAGAAACCTCATGCTATAGTGCACTTGTTTTAAAGAAATAGCTGTGTCCAAAACACTTTTACCTGCTTTATGAGACAAAAACAAAAGTATGACTCGGACTTTGACAAAAAGCTTCTTTAAGGGGCAAGAATGCTGCATGTGTTTAGCTCAATGTTTCTATGTAGGTTTGAGTGGAGATGTGCAAAATTACAACTGGACCAACTTTGAAGTAATAAAAAGGCCCACCTTTTACCAATTATCAAGCAGCAAGGCACTGAGCCTGCCAGGGTGCAGGGTTCACATTTCCTAAAAGAAAAGAAATAGACCCTTGACATGTCCCTTCTGTAGGACTCAGGTAAAAATGTAATAGTTTTTACTCCTGAGAATTTTCTTTACTGTATTATTCAGAGAGGAACAACCCTCAACTTTTGTTCTTATTAAGCAGTTTGTTATGTTTGTTGGTTGTCATATATCCAAAGTCTCTCTGATGGCTATTGTCACACTTGAGTCTCTTAATACTTGGGGTGTTTTTGGAGTTCATGCTGTTTCACTCTTCTCATTTAACTTATTCTTTTAAAAAGCCAACTGCAGAGTAGTGCTATCCAGTAAAACTTCCTGCAGTTATGGAAATGTTCTAAATCAGTGCTAACACAGTATCCTGTATCCACATGTGGTTACTGAGCACTTGAAATGGGGCTAATGTGATTGAGAAAGTTGAATTTTTAACTTGAATTTAACCTTAGATGGCTGATAGCTACCATATTAGTACTGTTTTTATGTATGAAAATTTCATACTTGTTTAGATAGTATTACAGCATTCATAATCTTAAAGGGAATATTGCATTAACGTACTGTGGTGTTTCAATGCTTGAAGACTTATTTCACCAGATAAATGCAGATGAAATTGCCTCAGTATATTTCTGTAGTAGAAATAGAGGGTTTTTTTCCTAATTAAACTCACAGTAGAGGGGAAAAAGATTTTTTTTTTTTTAAAGCACAAACATGAATATTTACTGTGGTTGTAGGTATTCAGAAGTTTGACTTTCAGTAATTTTAAATAAGCTTCCTGTGATGGTGTTGCTGTATTAAAAATGGGGTGGGAAGCATGGACTCAAAATGCAACTGGCAAAACACAGTCACCCTTCCCTAAAGCATTAGGTGCCTTTAAAGTAGTAAAAAGGCCCACCTTTTACCAATTATCAAACAGCAAGGCACTGAGAGCCTGCCAGGTTGCAGGGTGGGATCAGGCAGTGTCAATACATACCAGCTGTATATTCGGGAGTCAAGCCCCTGGCACAGCACATGGAAGCACAGCACATGGAAGTGTTTAGAAATATTTACCAATGAATAAATGACATTTTGGTGCCTTTAAGTCTGATGTAATTCATAAGGGTAAATAATTTGGATTTGTGTGAATTCTTGAGTGTACACAGTTGGTAACCAACATGCAAAGACATGCACCTGGAATTTCCAGATACCTACGAGGGCTGTTGATTATGGCATGCAAAGGCCCCATCAGCATCCCCAGCAGAAGGGCTTGTAGATGATGTAGCTTTGCCTTGGCATCTGCATGCTGCAACCAGTAGCAACTGACAGCAATAGGCAACTTCAGAGAAGTAGGGATTGGCTCCAGGATGGTCTGTTTCACCTTTAGGGTTTCTAACAGAAGCATCTTCCGCCTAATGAAGGAGACCTGAAAATACACACCAAACATCCTACAAATTACTTTGGGGAATTTTTTTCCCTCTATTTTCTTTTTAACAGCAAGAAGAGATTTAATGTCAGCTGTGGAACTTATTTCTGAGGAGAAAAAAGTCATCTATACCCAAAACATTGAAAACACTGATTAGATACATAAATGGGTGTGTGGTCTGCTCCCTCTAAAAAGTCTGTTGCTATTGCAGCCTCTCTGCTGCTAAGCACATGCAGTGCGCACATCACTTGGGAAGGCTGCTAGAAATTTGTTCCTCAGACCTTGTCCCCTACTTTGAGTAATTTGGTGAACACAGCAATCTGCACTTTTAACTAGTAGTCCAGGTATTCTGCTTTAAAAAACAGATCGATATTCAACCCTGCTCTTACTTGCTGGTGAATATTTAGGTGCCACTTTCTCCATGATGCCATTCCTAATCACCTACAGAAGACAAATGTTATATGTACTTATATAGCCTTCTGTTTGAGTCCTGTCTCATGTCCCTTGCCTGCTGAATGTTTTATTGTCTGCTTTTCTCCCATCCTGGGATTGTCCAGTGGTGGACAAGGGAGACAGAACTGCACTGTCCTTGCAATAACACACACCCTTTTTCATGCTTTATAGAGTGTACTTCAAAAAAGTCAGAAGTTAACAGCCATGAGGATTTTGACCTTCTTGTAGAAATAATTTTTACCTTGATCTCAAAAGACTTTGAGAAAAAGGTCTTATAAGTCACACTCTTACTAATAAGGACATTAAGACTGTTAAAAGGGTAACTTTATAATCAAACTTGTATTCCTAGTGTCTGGATGCTGCCATGAAAAGATTTTTTTCTTTCTGGGAGGACAAGATAGTCTTGTACATTTCTTAGCATCTAACACTTTTTATCAGTATTAAGTGTGGCTGACAGTTGAGAATGGATTGTTAATCTGAAAACATAACTGACAAAATGGTTTCATCTTCAATGCATGGAGATTTTGAATAGTATGATGATTCTAAGTAGTAAGAATTTTTTTAATTAGAAGTATATGAAGTGCTTTCAGTATAACAATAATGCTTGCTAGAAGTAGCATTAATTAAAGTAAAATAAAAATACATGTCCCAAACTTTAAAAAGCACACAGAACTACATTAATTATTTTCTGTCATATAATGCTTAAGTTACTCAATTCTCAAGCCAAGTTAGAACTTTTATGAACAAAGCAAAGAATGGGCTTTGATTTCAGAGGTATTCTGCACTCAACTTTCCTTTGGGCAAGTTTTGTTATTTTCTACAGTTTGTCTGATCATATGTAAAATAGGCATTAAATGATATTATCATTGAACTCACCAGTCCTTGGCTCCTTCCAAAAAGGAAACTACTGTGCTCATAGCCCTTTAAAGCTCCTTAGATTTTATTGCATGTGACAACTCCTTTCCCTTTCCCTTGGGGAGTGAAAGTACAGGCCTGCAGAAGCTGCCACAGGAGAGGCAGAAGTATCCAGAAAGAGGCTGATCTTGGTACTGCCTCATACACCAAGAATGATCCACTTCCATGTCTCCTTGTGATTAACAACCTCCTGTTTTAACTTGAGAGGTGTTCTGTCCACTGCTAACAACTAACATGGTAACCCATGTGGTTTCTGTGGGAATTAAATGAAACATTGTGTAAAGTTTCTATCACAAAAACTGGCACAAAGCAGATAAAGTATTATTAATATAGCATGTTAAAAACAATAATACTTGTACCTGCATTTGTGCTTGGAATCACATTTGCACCTGGTTTAGATTTATCAAGGGCCAATCAGAGCCAAAGGCATCAAGATAAATACAGAATTAATTTCTATGCTAAAAGAAAGCCAGATGACCCAAGAGCACAGAATGAACTAAAATTTCACCCTTCTCTGAGTGCAGGTAAGTTTTAAGAATTGTCATTTGTCATTTCACTTGGCAAGGAATATGATCAGCACGCTCTAATGCATTGATTCAGTTGGATTTCCATATGGGTGTCCTGACTGGTTTCACACCACACAAACACACACAAACACAATGAGCTCTGTAGATGATAGATCTAAATGTGAAATGCAGAAAACCATTTTCATGACCTCGGAGAGGCAAGGATTTCTTAAGTATCTCACAAAAGTGGTATCCCATAAATAATGTAGTCATTTAAATTTTTATTAAGACCTGTTCATTAAAATATAAAAGACAGAATAGATGAGACTATTTGCAAATACTGTGTTTGACAAAGGACTGGCAGGCAAAACCACAGAAAAACAGGCAAAGTATTGGAACAAAAAAACACAAAAGAATATCCAGATAGGTAATGAGCCCATGAAAAGGTGCTCAAGTCATCAAAGAAATACAAATTACCCACCTAACTGACTAAAATGATACTACTACACAACCACCAGAATAGCTTTAAAAAAAAATGTGAAAGGCAAGAAAAAACATAGTCCCAAGGGTGTAAGAGTTACTCTCATGCTACTGGTTAGGAATATTAGTTGGTACAATGCGTTGGAATGCTATATAGTAATACTTCTTATATGCTGAACTTCCATGTGTGAGAGTATGACCCAGCAAGTTCCTAGTAGTTACATATGCAAACAGAAATATGTCCATTAAATCGTGTACTGGAATGTTCATGGCACTATTTGAAATAGCTCAAACTGGAAACTGCCCCAATGCCCATCACCAATAAAGCAGAAAAGTCAATTGTGGTATGTTTCCACAATGCAATGTTTACAGTAATGATAAATGAATGATCTATAGCTTTTCACAGTGAAACATGTTAATTTAAGGATGAAAGAATTCCTTCATAGTTATATGAGTACAAATGCATTGTTAAAAGGTCAGGAGAAAGATTACAGAGGGTGGAAGAGATGGTGACTGGAACCAGACTCTATGGAAAGCTTCTGGGGTGGTGATAGTCATTATTCATTTGGGTTTTCTTTGCATGGATGTATCGATTTTGTGATAATAAATCCATCTGTATGACTATCTGTGCACTTTGCTATATGCATATACCTAGGGAGGGAGTAATTACAAAGGGGCAGAGGAAACTCTTAGAGAAGTCGTAGGCACATAAATTGTAGGATGGATTCACAGATATGAACATGTCAATCTTCATCAAAGTGCACACTTTAGATATGTGCACTTCATTGTACATTTATTTTTCAGTAAAGTCATTTAAAAAGTTTAAAAATTGCAAAATTCCAATGTACTATTTATGTTTGAATAGAAATTGATCTTCAGCAAAATATCATTCTTAAGAATACTTTTGTGTTAGCTTTATGATGCTGTGACCTTTGTGACCTGATGAGAGCAACTTAAAGAAGGAAAATTTTATTTTGGCTCATGGTTCCAGAGCTACAGTCCATGATCAGTCAAGTCTACTGCTCTGAGTCCATGGTGAGACAGCAGGACATCATGGCAGAATGTTGTGGCAGAGAACCACTGCTCCATTCATGGTGGCCAGGAAGCAGAAGAGAAGGGATAGAGAAAAGATGAACTCACCCTTCCAGAGTATGACCCTAATGACCCACCTCCTTCCATCATGCTCCACCAGCCCACAATTACCCATTCAAACTTGGATGTTCACTTTCAAACATTCTTGAATTAACTCAGGAGCTTTTGAAGTACACCTCATAGCCAAACCATAACAATTGCTAATTTGAATTTTATTGATATGGGTAGAGTTTTAATTACTTGTTTGAGAATGTGACTTATGCTCAACTTTCTAGTTCTGTAACAATGAAAATGCTATTGATTGTCAGTTTTATTACTAAGCATGATAAAAATGACATAAAACTGCATCTAGGTCTGATCTATAAATGAACTATATACACTTAATGTGGACACCACATCTTGGGGCTTCTCTGAGTATAGTAATTTATAATTAGGCATGGCCCTTGAAGGGACCCCAGAAGCTTTGTCTATGGAATTATCATGAGAAAGATTAGATCCTCTGGAGAAGGTGGCTTAAAAGCAACTCTTCAAAATATAATACACATGTCATAAATTTTACCCTTTAAAAGTATTCAACTTAACAGTTTTAGTATATTTACAAAGTGTCTACAACCATTGGCAATTCCAGATCATTTTCAGCACTCCACAAAGAATCCCTGTTCCTATTAGCAGTCCCTAATGTCAAAGAGGTCCTTACACCCATTTAATATGAATCCTTTTTCCTCATTCTTGAGATGTCACCACTGGGAGGCTTAAGAGGCTAGTTTTTAAACAATGGTGTAGGCCAGGAACTGCATCAATGGGTCTATGAGGCCAGATTATTCTTTGTTGTGGGAGGCTTATCTGCATTTAATTTGTAAGTTTAACTGCAAACATAAACAGTTTTATTTTATAATTTTTAATATAATTAAATAGTATAAAAAATGAAGGCAACACTGGGATTCATAAGAACATTTTGCCGTTGAAACAGGGATTGATCTGAGTGTTACCCAGGTTAAGCAATGCCAAGTGAGGCTGAGAATCATGAGTATCAAACCAAGCAAGTCACTATGATGCATAAACCTGAAGCCTAAAAAAAAGGTCCTCGTCAATAAAAAACATTAGACCTACCCATCAGTGCTAATATTAATCGAAACCTGATGTAGTATTAGATGTTATACCAATATCAAGTGCCTATATGTATACTTTATTTCTGTAGTTCAGAATTTTTTGTTATTTTTGTAAAGCCACATAACCCCATTCTATTGATAGCTGCTATCAATACAGTAGTGATAATTGTAAAGAAAATACTGTGGAAATGACAGATTTAGAGTTAAGAAGTGTTAAGTCTGAGTCTTCGCAATGACCCTCTGGCTAAGATATTACCTAGTTCACTTGAGTTCTATGAAATGAAGGCAAGACAGCAACTAACCTCAGTTTATCATGTTAAGAGAAATGATACATGTAATGGCACAGTAAAGTGATTAATTAAAATTTCATTAGTATTATACTTACCTTGGTCAATTTGCTCAAATCAGAATGATCTTTGGGCAGTTCTACTGCATGAACAATTGATGTTTTGATGTTTTGATGAATCCTTTCTACTTCACTGAAAGCTAGAGGCTGATGAGGCAAGGCACTCCAGGACATGTTTTCTACATGTGACAAAGAATTTAAAAGAAGCCCATAGATAACTTGCCGGATGGGCTGAGATATTTTGTGGGCATTTGGTCGCTGCATGTTTTCTACCTGTGTTTGAAGAATGGTCCGTCTTAGCACCAGAGCATCACTGATGAAAGGAGACAGCTGGCCTTTGGATAAAGCCACTAGTACCCATTCTGGTAAACCGAGATTCAAGGCATCTGGACAAACATAAGTACCATTTTGGAAGAAGTCCTGCAACTTCACCTGGGACTGCTGGTATTCCTCCATGGAACAGCAGAGAAGTTCCTTAACATTTTCTCGATCCTTTTTTGGGAGGTATTTCAGAACATTATCTAGTGCTTCAGTAGGGTCAGCAAAATGAGACAACCAGTTCAGAAGTCCCAGAACTCGGTGGTGTCTCCTTCCCTTAGAACTAGTAGCTCTAAGAGGAAGGCGTACTTTACTTAAGAATGTCTCTATGATGGGCAGATTAATATGGTCATTCCCACACAGTACTGCGAAGAGAGGTAGTAGAGCTTTGTTCATATTGCTGAAGTAATGGCAGAGTGCATCAAGGGAAAAGCATTTGGCAGGAATATAGTAGTTTTGTGTGCCCTTAATAGTGTTCATATTTCTCCACTGGAAGCCATTCAATGGACAAAACCCTGTTTTCAGGTCAAAAATGCAAAAGTCACTATCTGATGATAACACAGGGCAATTCCAGTGATTGGCAAGTGTCATAATATCCCGATCTGCTTCTGAAAAGCACTGGACAAAACATACTTGCAGCTTGATCAAAACCTGTAGGAACACTTCACGGATGAGTAAGGGACACACACACCCACCCCCACCAATAGATAGGGAATGGGCCATCTGAATCTTCTCTCTAGCTCGATCCTTTAAAGTTATAAGCTTTTTATCTGAAATGTCACATCCTCCATCTAATACAACATACGGGCATATATTACAAGCAAACAGTGATTCAAAGAAGTTTTCTACAACCTCTGCAAAAGAATCATAGTCCCCTCCATACCGAAGCTCCAAATTTGAATTGAAGCAAAGTCGGTGGAAAAGAGCATAGCCATCAATGATAATTTTTGTGTCCCGCAACTTCAAATCAGTGAAGAACTCATTACTGTGATCTTCCACGAAACTCATTAGTCCTCGGATACCCATGATGACAGTCTGAAGAACTGCCTGTTTAAAACAATGGAACACATTTTCAAATCATGGCTCTCAGCCCCATTAAATCAATAAGCAGCAAATGTTATAAAGTGTTCTTTAGATGGAACATGTTGGTTGTCACCATCTCTGAATTCATACCTAGTTCCTCAGGCAATATTAGCTGAGCACTTTTGTTTTCCTGTGTGAGATAAGGCACAATTCAATGATTCCATGGGTTTTAATCTTTGGACAGAGAGAGAGACTGCTGATGATTCTAAAGGAAAATCAGCTAAAATCCATTATGGATACACCAGAATGTAAGTTCTATGGACTTTTGTGGGGCAAAATAAAAAGTGCTAAGCTACAAAAATGATATCCTTATCAATCTCATAAAAATAATCAGAAAGCACTGGATTTCAGTAAACTCAAGTGTGCAGGACCCATGATAGTCATCTAGTTTTTCTTTTTTATTGATAATCAGCATTTAGGAACTTCTTTCAGGTCCTGGGCTTGTGGGCCCTTCTAAATTGGTAAGGAAAACTACTGCTTCCTGTCTCTAGGAATCCAACTACCAGATCATTCCATCTGGAAACTCTTTTCATCTTATCATGCATATATCTGAAGCAGTTTATCTTCCCTACTTGGGTAACAACTTACAGAATTAGTATTACTGTTTGTTTTCTTTTAGTTTCAGGGTTCACTATGGCTCAGTAATGGTATTATGACCAAACCTGCCTTTATTTAAAACCCTGCATTTTGTCAACAATGCATTTTGGATTTTAGAGACACTGCATTAAAGTTTATTTATTATCTTGATCACTAAATTTTTTGACATCCACTTATATTTTGCCCTTGACTCACCTCAGCCTAGTCCCAGTCTTGTTCATTTCTCAGCACCTCATCCTATACAGTTCTAGTTTCTTTACAGTCTGTCGTGTAAAGCGTCTGCGAATACAGATCTTGTTGACTCGCTCTAGCCCATTAGAGGGCCATGCACGAAGTAGTTGTTCAGCAAATGCCAACTGGGTAGCAAATGGTGCTCAAAAGGTCTAATTCCTCAAATACAGGCCTTGGTGCGCCGCGCCACCCCGGTCTTCACAACCTGCCCCGACCAGCAGCGGCGCCCTCCTGCTGTGTCCTCGCAGAAATAGCTCCTCCATCAGAATCCCGCAGGAGCCCAGGGGACTCGCAGCCCCCGCGTTAGGCAGTTTAACCCCAAGGCCGGCAACCGGAAGTCTCCGGTGTGGCGTCAACGGGAAGTCGAGTTCGGTGAAGACCAGGGTGCCAGACTAGGCGGTCGGGAGGCGAAGGTGCTTCTCGGGCCCAGAGATGCTCAATTGCTAAAGAAGGTTGGGACGTATGTTTAGAAACGGCTGCTGTCTAGCTGGGAAGCTGGGCCCGCAGGTCTCCCCCCGACCCCACACACACCTATTTGGGTCCACGAGCACTTCCGCCTGGGTGAAAGCCTCGCCCCGACTTCCCAGCATGCCCCGCGCCGTCTCCTTGGCGACGGCGCCAAACAGCTGTAGCCTCGGTGTTCTGGAGCACGGCGGGGTACCGCTGCCCCTAAATTGAGGCCCACCGAGTTACTGGCGGGACTCGGGCATGCCGCCGGGGCCGCCGCTCCTCCGCCCGCGGCGGCGAAAGGTAAAGCGAACTGCGCTCCTCGCGGCGTGCCCCGCTCCTCCACGCGGGGAAGGTCGTGACTTCGAGCTGCCGCGGGCAGGGTCCTGCTTCTCTAGGCCTCTCTCCTTGCTTCTTCTCCTTATCCCCGACTGGTCACCTCCGGGATCTCTTAGTCTTGGGAAAATAAGAGTATCTGTTCCCCTCGATATGGCCTAATCAGCTTTGAGAATTGTTTGTTTTACGTCAAAGTTGAAGTTTACCTTTAAGGACAGTTAGACGTCTAGTTTAGCAGAACCTGGTGTCAAATCGGCTTCCTCGAATTTATTACCAGGGAACAAGTTTATTACTTAGTTTTAGCAAGTGGTAAACACTCACCTTTCCTTTGTTTTTGCTCCAGGGAAATTCTTTTCACTTCCCGTGGACAACTTGCATAAGAAGATAATCTCTCCCCTTTCTGTAGGTTCTCATCCATCTTTTCATTTGTCTCCTCTCCCCCCCCCTCCCGCCCCCTTTGGGCGGCAGTTAGTCTGTTGGACACTATTTTGCCCTCATAACATTCTAGTATATGTCAGGTGTTGTGCCAAGTCCTGGGGATACAAAGGTTTCTTCTTGCACTCAGGGGTTAGGGGTGTTGATGAGAGAACAGGTAGATCAAGTGAACTGTAAATCTAAAAGCTGGTACATTGCTGGGTAGACTTATAGGAGACCAGGGGAAGGGATGGGCTACACGTGCACTGGGATGACCCAGGGTGGCAGGGCTGATGTGAGGTTGGGCTGCAGGGACCCTAACCCCAGAGTACTCTGCAGCCCAGGACAAGACTGCTTGCCCGCTGCCAGATTTAAACTCTTCTTTACAAATAGGAGTTCTGGATCTGAACTTCCCATAACTATTCTGCCCTCGAATTCTGTGCTTTACTAACTGGGGACTTTAATCTCTCTAGAATAAGAATTACTGAGGGATCTGAAGCCCTGTTTTCAGTTGAAAAGATTGAGAGTCCATACTTTTTTCTGAACAGCTCAATTTGTCCAGAATATACTTTTATATGCTAGTGAGGAAAACAAAAGGTACATTTAGAGATTAGAGGCCTGCTCTCCAGTTTTCCCTATTTTTTTTTTTTTAGCAGCAAATTTCACTATATTTCTTTGAGGAGGGGCATTTCTCTAATCTCACTGGCATGGGGTGAAACAACTAATTAGTTTGAAAATAAAATGTAATAAATAATAATTTAAGTAAATAAAATGTGATCAATGGATTTTTAAGTAATAAAATTTAATAAATGGATATTTACATGTTTATGTTCTCTTTTAAGAATATATGAGGTCATTTTGTGGTTGATTGTCATTGACACTACTATCACATAAAGACAACTGATCTTCATTATAAACAATAGATTTTTTTAAAAATATTTTTTAGTTGTTGATGGACCTTTATTTTATTTATTTATTTATATGTGTTGCTAAGAATCGAACTCAGTGCCTCACACATGCTAGGCAAGCGCTCTACCACTGAGCCACAACCCAGCCCCCCAAACAATAGCTTTTTTACTTACTACTTTGGAATTATTGAATATGAAAACCTAACTTCAAGGCATAGTCTTCAATTTAAAATCATTTTCATATAGATTTAAAACAAAAGCATAATTTTCATGATTACTAGCAAAACAGTTAACATTTTGATGAAATAAAAATGATTTTACTATGTACCTACTCATGAAATAGTCCTACTTCTCATAACTCTGCCATACATTTCATATGTCCTTGAGGAATTACAGATTTATCCATAGCATATTTATATTCAACTAATATTAGAATATGATTTTAGTTTTGAAATACATTTGTATTCTAACCCAGAGAGATTACTCTCTACCCACAGGGTATAATAGAAGCTTCAGAAACTGGATCAGAATTTGCTTAACATGGGAAGAAATTCATTCTGAATTCTTATCCTTCCTCTCATCTATTATAATAAGTGGAAAAACTATGATTAAAATTTACAGGAAAAAAACTAAACCAGTATTAAGCTATCTTCTTTAATTCTAACTCAGTATTTGTAAACCATAATAGACCTAAAGTGCAAAGAGAGTATTGCAAAATGTTGATGCAAGTGTGTAGATTTAATGAATTGACAACTGTATTTGGATTTTTTTTTTTTTGATGGTCCCAGAGATTTAACCCCAGGATACTCTATTACTGGGATAGATTCCCCAGCCTTATTATTTACTTATTGTACTGAAGATTGAACCCAAGGGCACTTTACCACTGAGCCACATCCTCAGCTCTCCTTATTTTTTAATTTGAGACAGGGTCTTACAAAGGCTGGCATCAAATTTGCGATCCTTCTGCCTCAATCTCTGGAATCACTGGGAGTACAGATGTATGTGTGGTTCCCAGGCCATCATTTTTCATGGTTTCCTTTTTGTTTTCTCTCTCTCTCTCTCTCTCTCTCTCTCTCTCCACCCCCCACCTCTGTCTTTCCCTCCCTCTCTCCCTCCCTCTCTCCCTCCCTCTCTCCCTCTCCCCTTCTTTTGGGGTTTGAATCCAAGGGGTACCTTACCACTGAGCTTCATCCCCAGCCCTTTTTATTTTTATTTTAAAACATTTTTAAAATAAGGGATCCTTCACAAATTTGCATGCCATCCTTGCTCAGGTACCATGCTAATCTTTTCTGTATTGTTCCAATTTTTGTATATACCCTTTTTATTTTTAATTTTATTAAGGATTTTGCTAAGTTGATTAGGGTCTTTCCAAATTGCCTGGACTGGCCTCTAATTTGAAATTCTTCTGCCTCAGCCTCCTGAGTAGCTGGGATTACAGGTGTGTACCACCAGATGGGCTGGATAGCCTTTTGTTTGTTTGTTTTTAGTTTTGACAAATTTGGATGTACTAAGATAGACTCTCTTACCATGAAAGATTGCCTTGTCCTGGAATTTGCAGCTTCTACCTTTTTTCTTTCCTTTGAAATCATTAAAACTAACCAATAAGGAATCATTCAGTCTGTTAATCAAGGTGCAGTTCTCACTGTCTAATACTTATATATTCTGTAGGAGTCAGCATCTTTTAGACCTGATGTGTGGATTTTTCACATTTCAGGCATTGACCAACATTTGCTGGATGAATTGGATCATCTATTAGGAGACTTGATTGTTAAGTTTCTATAAATGAATAGACCAGTACTATCTTGTTTGGAGCGATGTTGAAATTCCAAGAGGCAGCTAAGTGTATGTGTGCATCAACAGCTGTTTCCACTTATCCAGAGACCTTGATTGCAAGAAGATATGTGCTTCAGCAGAAACTTGGAAGTGGAAGTTTTGGAACTGTCTATCTGGTTTCAGATAGGAAAGCCAAAAGAGGAGAGGAATTGTAAGTAAAATGCTTCATACTGACCTTGGCTCCCTGTATGTGCAACTACTGGCTGATTAAGAACATTGGATAACCTTGAACCTGTTTTTTGCATTAAAGCAAGAAGCTACTAAAGCTATTCCTTCATTTATCTCTTCAGATATGTTTTTTTTTCTTTCTTCTTTTGTGATCTTGGGAATTGAACTCAGGGCCTCATGCTTGCCAGGCAAGCGCTCTGCCACTCAGTTATACCCCAGCCCCAGATAAGGTTCTTAAAGGCATTTCAGTTGTGAATAAAGCATCCAAATGACCTAAAGAAGGTAAATGGGATAGATCATATGATAATTTTTTAGTAAACCACAGTCCCAGTTACAATATTGCTTACACTGAACTTGATTGAAACTTCTTGAATAAGAAAAAGAAGTAATGTTTATGACTACACTTTTAGAAGTGTTATGAAATATAAATAAGCAGTAATTCACATTTGAGGTGAAAATGATGTATTAAAGGAAACATGGCATTAATTTTATTTGGCTTTTCTCTGAAAGAAATTTTCAAAATCTGTACTCAAAAAGCCCTCAGATAGATATTTAAACCAAATTCAGTCTTTGTTTAAAATTAGCTTATGTTAATGACTTCCTTGTAAATTGCTTTTCTTTGGTTTTGACCCTATAACTCCCAGAGAAAAATGTAATAATACTTTTTGGATAGTACATTTCTTCTGGATGAGGATACACTTTCATTTTTAGCTTAAAGCTTTTTTTTTTTTTTTTTTAATTTTGGCAGTGAAAGTTGGAACTGAAGTTAGGATAAAGTTAGGATAAGAAACTTGCAATTAGAAACAGGAGCAGAGAAAGCAGAAGCAAAATGATCCAAGAAATCAGCCCTTAGCCCTAGAAGACCAGATTTCCATCCCATAGTCTGTTCTTTTATTCAGAAGTTTTTTAGATACTGAGTTACTCCAGCTTTTTCTCATTGGATATTTAAGTGCAGATTTAAAGTTAGTGTGTGATAAATACTTTTCTACTTCTTCATATTCACAGAAATTACAAAAGCAAGTGTCACTAATACTACTACTTTATTTTAAAGATCAACCTTTAAAGTAGTTTGTGTAGAATTTTTTAAAGTTGTAATTTTAAATAGTTTTCAATAAATTTCTACATGAAGAATGGTGAAAGAGCTGGAATTTTACTGATATTCTTAGAACATGCATTATGACTCCTGCCCCCCAAAGGATTTTTCCCCTTTAATCCTAGAGGTGCTCTTCTAGCAGCACAGAGTAGGATGATGAATATTTGGCAATTATTAGAGAGCCTTCAGCATTGAGCATAAGACCTAATTTTGGCCGAGGACTTATAAAAACCACACTTTGGACCATGTCAAATTTGAGTTTTTTCAACTAATGAGAGAGATGAGGAATTTAAAGAGAATTCACAGAAAGGCTAAAATGTTGATTAAAAGGAGCTAAAATAAAATGTGTGAAAACCAATCTTGAAAGCTCTGGACTTGACATTAATGTGTGTAGTGTGTAGTGTGTGGGGGTGGGTATGTGAGGCTGTTCATAGGGGGAAAGAAAGTAAGAAAAGGTGGGGGGTCTGGGACTGGTTGGCTGGTAATGATTTATAAGTGACCTTTCTTATATTGGAAATAATCTTAAAACACAAGACTTGAGCTGGAGATGACAGACAAATCCTAGTGTTGTGGAGTGAATCCAATGGTGAGAATAATGGTCAAATCATTTGGCACTAAAAGGTCTAGTCTAGGACTATTTGGAAAAGGAATAATTCATCATCTAAAATAAATTACATACTGGTCGAATGCAGCCTTCAGGTGTGTTTTGTTTGGTCTGCATAGAATTTCTTTTTAATCCTAAATTAGTTGCTAGTATTTTCAAATGGGCAGCTCTCAAAAATTGAGCATTTTATCTCCTTTAGAAGAATAAAACAAAAAGGTTGAGTAACATTTGCTAAAATCTGTGCCTATGTAGCCACAGTGGACTGGACCTGGCTAGCAACTACTCCCTTTAGACAAATTCTTTGGTCTCTGATTAGCCACATTCCTGCTCCTGTTCATGTCCCTTAGGCCTAACTGCATCTTACTTTTCCACTATCTGCTGGTTTTTTTTTTTCTGGAAATTTACTAAACCCGGAAAGAGAATGGATATGACTGCTCATGAAATCCTAGAATGCTAGAAAGAGGGCACTACAGTGTCATCATTAAGACCATGGCTCAGAAGCTAAAGAAGCCAAAGAGTAAAGCATACCTGTTCTTAACTGTGAGGTTAATGTTACTCTGGTTCCTAATATGAAATTTACTATGCTCATCTGTAACGTGGTATAATATCTCATAAGACTGTAATAAGGATTAAATAAAATGTCTACCTATTTTTATAAGATGAAGCTATCACATGGCCTTACAGAGAATTATCACTCAGTAACAACTGAAATTCACGTTAATTATAAACAAGCCAAGTCAATAAAATAATTAAAGGAAGTCTAATCAAACTTTAGCCAATCTACCCAGTGACTGCTTTTGGAATCCTCTACTAAGTGGAAGTTTTTCTTTTGCACTCTGCTTTTGAGAAACAAATCTTCCAAAGTAATTTGCTATTAGGCATGTGATTTTAAAAACTTCTTCAAGGATTTTTTTCGATATAATAATTCTGTTGTCATTTACTCGTTTACATCTCTAAAACTTATAAAAGAAAATTTACAATCAAAGTATTGCAGTTTCTCATTATGCCACTTGGGGGCGCCACTCTATCATTGATATTTTGTGTATACTGTGATCTTTAATTACATTCTTTTAAATTTTTATTGACTTCCAGATTAGCTATGGGATAAAAGTAAAAGCCACACGCATTACACTTGATTATTGCATGTTTGGAGAGAGTTTTCTTTTGGTATAAATATCTGGCATTCCTTTTTTAGTTATCTCAGTAGAATAAAATTAAATTGTTAAATTGAGTAGTGAATGGGATAGAGGTTTTTCCTTTATTGTGTTTTACATTTTGAAACTTAAAAAGCAACTTTTGGGATTTTAAAAAATAAGTATAGCTACTCTGGTCTAATTAATGTAATTATGTTGTATTCCTAAAAAGATTTTTCTAGTTTTAGTTTATAATTTCATCTTATTTTTTGTTAAGATGTCAAAGTATGTTTTCTTTTTTGCAAACCCAAATGATTTTTTAATTGACACATGAGTATTGTACATATTTATGGGATACTATGTGCTATTTTTATACACGTATACATATACACACACATACACACACTTGCATATATAATATAATGTTCAAATCAGGGCAAGTATGTCTCTTTCCTCAAACATCACTTCTATGCCATGAAACCATTAAAAATCTTGTCTTGAAGCTTTTAAAAAATATACAGTACATTTTCATTATCTATAGTCACACTACTGTGAAATAGAACATAGAACTTATTTCTCACATTTAACTATACCTTAGTATCCATTAACCAACCTTTTCCCATACATTCTACAGCCTTTGGTAACCATTATTTTAAATTCTACTTCTATGAGATAAATTTCTTTAGACATATGAGTGATGTTATGTGGTATTTGTCTTTCTATGTCTGGCTTATTTCACTTAAGAAAGTATTTTCCTGCTTATCCATGTTGTTATAAATGATTGAATTTCATTATTTTTATGTCTAGATAGTATTTCATTGTGTAAATGTACCAAACTTTCTTTATCCATTCATCAATTGATGGGATACTTAGTTTTATTACATTTCTTGGCTGTTGTGAATAGTGCTTCAATAAACAAAGATGTCTAGTTTACATAGTAATTTCATTTGCTTTGAATATATGATTAGTAGTGTGATTGCTGGATCATATGGTCATTTTATTTTTAATTTTCTGAGGAACCACCCTATTGTTTTCCATAATTGCTGTACTAATTTACATTCCTTCAAATGGTGTGCAGAGGTTCTCTTTTTTCTACATCCTTGTCAATACTTGTTATCTTTAATCTTTTTGGTAATAGCCATTCTAACTGGAATGAGGTGATATCTCATTGTGGTTTTGATTTGCATTTCCCTGATGATTAATGATGTTATGTATTTTTCATCTATCTGTAGGTTGTTTCTGTCTTCTTTTGAGAAATGTCTCTTTAGGTCTATTGCCCATTTTTAAATCAGATTATGTGTTTTACTATTTTTCTTTTTTCTATTAAGTTTCTTAAGTTTCTTATATATTCTCGATGTTGACTCTTCTCTGTCTTTTTTTTTTTTTTTAAATGCACGACAGCAGTGGAAAGCATTACAATTCTTATTACACATATAGGGCACAATTTATCTTATCTCTTTATATAAAGTATGTTCACGCCAATTTATGCCTTTATACATGTACTTTCTTGTTGTTGTTTGCATTACAATTCTTAATACTATATATACCACAATTTTTTGTATCTCTGTTTGCATATAAAGTATGTTAACACCTAATTCAAGTCTTCATATATGTACTTTGTATAATGATGTCCATCACATTCTACCATCCTTGCTAATCCCCTGCCCCCTCCCTTTCCCTCCCACCCCTCTTCCCTGTATAGAATTCATCTATTCCTCCCATGCTCCTTCTCCCTACCCCACTATGAGTCAACCTCCTTATATCAGAGAAAACATTCAACATTTATTTTTGGGGGGAATTGGCTGACTTCACTTAGCATTATTTTCTCCAATGCCATCCATTCACCTGCAATTGCCATGATTTTGTTCTTTTTTAATGCTGAGTAAAATTCAATTGTGTATATATGCCACATTTTTTTTTATCCATTCATCCACTGAAGGACATCTAGGTTGGCTCTACAATTTAGTTATTGTGAATTGTGCTGCTATAACCACTGATGTGGCTGTGTCCCTGTAGTATGCTGTTTTTAAGTCTTTTGCATGTAAACAGAGGAGAAGGATAGCTGGGTCAAATGGTGGTTCCAAGATCATATGATTCCATATTTCCAAGGAATCTCCATATTGCTTTCCAAATTGGCTGCACCAATTTGCAGT